ATTTAGTGATATACTATTATTATTTAGTGGTATACTATTATTAGTGATGACTGTTATTATTTAGTGATATACTTTTTTCTTAATATTTGCAAACTTATATTTTTTTAATATTTAAGGTTTGCCTGTATTCAATAAAATAATTTGAAAATAATGAATTACTTAGTGAAATAAAATTAAAAAAGATGGAAAATATAGGCGCCATGCAATAGGAGTATCCAAAAATAGAAAAAAATCCAGTAATCGTTAAATCATTATTTATAGATATTAAATCAACAATTCCAATTAAAATCATTAATTTGAAACACGGTTCATTACGGTGATCAGAATGGCAGAAATTTATTAGACATGGAAAATAAGTTACCTGCAAGTTTACTTTATTATTTTATTTAAAGTTTAAGCTCGAACTATTTCATTTAAATTTTTTTTGTAATATTTAAAAGGGAACGTTTAATAATATTTTACTAATGAAATAATTTGAAAAAAAATACTTGGTGATTTGAAAACTATCTTTTTATTTTTTATTCCTCTATCATTTTCCAGAGTTTAATTTTTACCAGCAAATTGAAAATTAAAAAGAGTAAATTTTTGTAAACTAATTATCACAAAACTTAGTAATTCTTTGATTTCTAAACTTCTGTCATTGCTAATGATTTACCAGCAGATCAGATAAACGTATTAAAATCAGCGAATCATTCCAGTGAAAAGTTAAAATTTCAAAAGCTTTGATCAAAGATTTTAGCAATAAAATAACTTTATAACAAGTATATTTTGTAATTATTTTTGTAACGATTAAATGTTTAGAAATAAATGCAAAATATTTAATAAAATTAAAACTGACTTGAAAAAGCAAACTCAGCGAAAGATAAGAATATCCAATTAATAAATTTGGCCTGCCAAGTGTTCCATTAGACTGATTACATATCTGTTCATTAATTAGAAAGGTTTCAGCGCTGAATCTGCAATTAGAAACGACCAAAATAATTTTTGATTTTGGTAATTTTTTTTTCAAAAATTATTTTCTTATTTTGAAAAAATAAAATTTGAAAATTTTTGTAACTATGCTGAATGATATTTATTAGTCTAATCAAGTCATTCAATCTGAACAAAAATTCAATGAAATTAGCAAGTGCACTGCAGATAACAACAGAATTAATTTAATATGATATGTAAAAGTAATAAGCAATTAGCTACTAATTGATCGTTGAGAAAGATCAAAATGATATTAGCTTATTAGGAATTAAAAAATTAGATTGGACAAAAGTAATGAATCGAAAAAACTTGGCAAGTTTTTTGCTTACTTTTGCAAATATTTTACTCAATTTATTTAACTTATCAAATATTTTACTTAATTTTACTCAAATAATGTGCTTAATCATCTTAAAGCCAGCTAAAACCGATTAATAACTTGATGTTCACTGATTTGTACAGTAATTATTCTTGATCATTTATTACCAATTTTTTGCTTAGAACTAATTTTCTTTTCAAATCTTGTTGTAAATAATTTTGTGAATACATAATTTTAAGTAATTAGTTTTTGAATTATAAAACAGATTTGCAATACAAATGCTTTCTTGATTTAAAAATTTGAATGTCTCCGAGTTTAACTGCGAAAAATAATTAATATATAATACATAGAAACTCACTTTTCCATATTTCCATTCGTTTAGAAACTTGTCGTTCAGAATCAAAATTAGCTGAATCGAATTTGCATTTAAATGAAATTTTAAATTTAAATTATCGCAATTTTTATTGAAGTTAGTTAAGACCTAAGACAAGCAGTAAAAAGGCGAAGCGAAATTACTTTCAAAAAATTTGTGCTCCCAAATCCTGCCTATTAAAAATTAAAAATAAAAACTAAAAATTGTATTTGCATTAACTTTAATGAGATTATTATTATTGTAGAGTATAAAACACATTATGAGCTAAAATAAGCTATGTTTATTGCTATTATATTAAATGCAGTGGAATTTTAGATCACTAACTTTTAAATAGTGCAATTTATGGCTGAAATAATTGCATCATATTATTTACCTGAAAAGCGCATATTTACTTACAATTATGCAAGAAATTATTAAAATTTGCAAGGCGTTAAAAAGTTTTTTTTTTTTAATTCAAAAGCACACACAGAAGTGAAAAATTTGAAATTAAAAAATGCGTGCATATTTAAAAATTACTCAAAGTGTACAATGCACAGCTACAAGACAATCAAGTTACTCAATATTTTTCAAGTTTAACAAAAAACCATAAGTGGAATAGGATAAATTTTTAAAAAAAAAATCTAACTAAAAATCAGTAAAAGTAATGATCAAAATTGCTAATAAATATGATAATCAAAATAATAATACAAAAATAAACAGTAATATTAATCAACTTCTAAAATAATGCCAGCAGTGGAAATTTAATTAATAATGCTAAAAATTTTATAATACTATCCAATATTTATTATTTTCACAATGCATGACACAAAACAGCGCTTTTATTTTCTGTTCAAATTTTAAAAAAATTTGTTCAGAAAATTAATTAGTCTAATATATTTACAAGTTAATAAAATTAGTAATAGACTGAAGAAATAAAACGGAATTCAATCATTTCAGACACTTTATAATAATTTTCGAAACTGACCTAACAGTACAAAGTCAAAGTAGCTCAAAAACTAATTCGCAAAACATCCAATCAAATAAATATAAATCGAAGTTTATGAGAAATAATCATTCCAAAAATAAAATAAAAAGTAAGAAATATTGCATATTATTATACTAAATACTCTTTGGAACATTGAATAAGTTTAGATATATATCAAACTGATTTACTTTGAATAATTTAATAATTTGTTGAAGAATTTAGTTTTTTAAAGTATAATATCAGTCAGTTTTACTGCTATCTATCTGATAGCTTAATGGATGCTGATAAAAATGATTTTCCTTGATAACTGCGCAATTAAATTTGTTGAATCGCTTATGCACGTCAAGACTGCTTTGAAAAGTACCTTAAAATATTTTGTTATTTTTACAAAATGTTCCAAAAATCTGTCACAATACATTGCAATAAATTAGTTGAAAAATATTAAATATATGGAATTTCAATTTTTTGAGTAATCTTTTTATCAATAATTTTCGTTAAATATTATTAATATCAAAAATTTGCAATAAGCAAGCAAATCTTTTCAAAAATTTATCGAAAAAACAACAACAACAGATGCAAATAAAAAGACTAAATTAACACAAATTCTTTCTAAGCTTTGCATTTTTTCAATTAAATATTTCCACGCAAAATCACGAATCTTTTGTATTTGTGTTGAGGAAAAATTGTTTATAGCTGCGAAGCAAAATGTCCATATAATTCATTAAGTTTTCACGGTGTGTTTTTTAATTAGCCTCAAGCTTAGAAAAAGAAAATACTATCGAAAGTTTAAAAAAGCTAAAAATTATTATTCTTCCAAAATAGCAAACAATGCATGATATATTATCAAGGAATTTCCTGAAATGCATTACGCCGTAAGATTATCACTCAATATATATGTGTAGTATGACATTTTTAAAAAGCGTTTGATTGAGTTTGTTGCGGATACCTGATGAAGTGCATAGAAAGGCTTAACATGACATCGTGGCTCGGCAGATTCTGAGAAGCGTCACCATCCAGATGGACAGTTGTACTGAAAAACGAAAGAGAAACTATAACTGAGAAGAAAGTACAGCCAGAACTTTTCCAAAGTGATCGCCTCTCTTCGCTGTTATTCCTCTTATGCTTGGATTGGACTCATTTATCCGTCGGATCAATGTGCGGTACCCAAAGGTAGCGGTTCTAACTCATCGAAAATTCACATTACAAATCATTTAATGTTTGTAGATAATCTCAAGATCTTTGCGATCGACGAGGATATCATGAAGTCCATGACTGAACAGGTTCTGAAGTTTCTTGATGTGGTAGAGCTAGAGGTGAATCAAGAAAAGTCAGCATTGAGATATGCGCTCATAAGGTGGCGCTGTTGAAGAACTCAACAATATAAGTACTTTGGTATAGCGGAAGACAAGACTAGCATACCTACGCGTGAAAACTGCAATACAGTCCGAGCAGATATTTTAGTGAGAATTAAGCGATTAGCCAAAAATGCACTAAATGGCAAGAACTTTATCAAGGCGGTGAATGAGCACGCCATAAGTTTATTAAACTATCATACTGGAGGGCTCAAATTCTAATCAGAAGACTTCAGAGCTATAGACCACGATATCAGACAGTTACTGAATAAATACAGAATACATACCCAACTCTATGCTGAGCGGAACTGTACTGACTAAGAGACAGGAATATCATGATTCACATAAAGAAGTTATCTTGATAGAGCTTGATAGAGTTTCTTATTCCAAAACTAAACCTACTGTAATCTTTCAAACATTTATTACAGCTTATTTATGATATTCGAGATGGATAGCACAATGAAAATGTTCCTTTTATTTCAATGTATTATATCACATAAATTTGCACAGGTCATGTCATTAATGCATTAATTAATATGTGAATGTGGGTGATTTGTAGGGTGCATCAGAGTAGTCCATACAATTTATATAAAAAGGAAGATCAGTTTTGGGGTACTTTTCATCCTCACTTTTTGAATCATTTTGAACTGTTGTTGATCTATTACGAGCTGGTCCACTACGTCGTTGTTGGAAATGGAATAAGCGAATGAGAACAACAGTAGTCATTAGTGACTAAAACATTACAAAAGTTATCACAAATTTTGTTTTTGCACTCAGAATTACATAATTTAGAGAAAATTTTTCAAAAATTTATACAAATAATTTATGTTAAATGATGATTAATGACTAATGTCATTCTCATAAATATCATGTATTGCTACTAAAATTTCGTTAGTATTTTTTTTACCGAACATATTTTTTACTTAAAGATCATTGCTTTTGCAATATGCAAAGTTATTCGTATGACTTGAAAAACTTTGAGTCTTAGAAAACATTTGTTTTTTGCGATGAGCAGAGAATAGTATATCTGATATGAATATGCAAATTAGCTTACGAGTGCTAAAAATGTGAGAACATCCTGAATAAGTACGAATGCATCGTTCCATTGGCAGTGTTTTCTAAATTTGAGCCCTGATTTCTCAGTGAGAATACAGCTGATCGATTTGTACATCGAAAGCTTAAGCAAAAAGCGTGTATTATAGAGTTTTTTACTAGAATGTTTTAGAAGTTTGCATAAATATTGTGAATAATCAAAGTAGTAACTTTGGGATGTAAGATTAAAAGTTATAAATACAATATTATTTGCTTAAAACTTGGCAAATCAAAAAAATATATACATTTAACAAATCTTCCAAATTTGCTTACGAACATTCAATCAGCAGTGAAAATAAAATCGGTTTGAAATAAAATTATGCAAATTAGTAGCAATAATCGAATTTTTCTACTTAATTAAATAGCTAATTAACATTAACATAAGTAGATAAGAAAACAGGATTAAAATGCTAACTTTACCGATAAGTAA